TAATATTATTATTATTATTATTATTATTATTATTATTATTATTATTATGCCTTTTGTGGTTTTTGTTAAATGCCGTTGCTGTTGTTGTTGAGCAGGTAGATATACAAATCTAACAACATCACTGTTCTATTGAATAATAATATATTATAAGATTTTAAGGTAAACTGTCTTGTATTCCATAGGCCTACCAGTTTATTTGGCTTACCTTTTTTTCTTAAACTGAATGTAATTGATTTGCTATATTTTCCGTTTTTTCCAACAAAGTATTCGTTTTCAGCTCTACAACTATAGTTCCCTGCATCACGTTGGTCAAATTTTTTTATTTCTAATATTTTATCGTTGACAATATATTTGCCAGAAGCACTGTCTATGACGTCACCACCAAGGAACCACGTGAGAAAAATCACTTTCGGAAACGACGACACAACTTTACATGACATAGATACTCGCGTACCTTCAGGTATACGTGTGTCGGTTAGTGCCTGAATTTTAGGATTATCCAGATCTGTTGATAAAAACCATAATCATTATGATAATGATTATTATAATCATGGAAGTGATGATAATGATAGTCCTGACAATGATGCTAATGACGATGATGATGATAAGTCTATTGTGGATGATGATAATAATGACGTTGATGACGGTGTTTTTTGTAAATTGTAAATGAAAAATCACAGTCGGCCAATAATCATAATATTAAATTCTTATTATTAAAGCAAATGATGTTCCCTTACAGTTTACTGTTAATTTGCTGTCATCTGAATGAGGAACGGTTGATCCTGTAGACTGGTCGTTCACTCCGCATGTATATGTACCCTTGTCCCATCGCAACACCTCTTTGATAACTAAGCTAACATTCCCGGATGTTGCGTCACTCAGTAAATACCTTGAGTTTGGATCTGATGGGTCGTCTGATCTTATAATGACACTTCCATTCGTCTTCCAATACCACTTGCCGATAATGGCGTTGGTTGGCGAGTAGAAACAGGGCAAGACAGCGCTGTCCCCTTCATTTACACGTAGGTTGTCTGCATCTAGGGCATCAATGCTCCGGCCCGCTATAAATCATGCATTAAACAAGCGATTAACATAATTAATTGTAATTATTGTTATCATCATCATGATTATCAACATCATCATCATCATCATCGTCGTTGTCGTCGTCACCATCATCACTATTATTAACATTATTTTTAGTGTACTGTGTGCGTTCTTAAATTTAACGTGTATATATTGTAACTTGTATTTCAGGCCTCTGAAAATAAATTAGAGCAGTGGTGAATTAAAAATGTGACATCTGAAATGATCTCTAACAGTGGGTCAGCGCAAAAGGAACAAGTGCCCAAAAAGACATAATATCATAAAATATTATTACATTGGACGATCGATTTAAGGCGTAAATTTTGATTGTTTATATGAAAATAAAGGCAGGCATAGTATAAACTAGTTGTTTGCCCTGCTGTCGTGCTTACGTTAAAAAATAGACTTTCGACTAAACTTACGCTCATAGGCATACATTATATCCCTATGAGTGTAAGTGTAGTCGAAGGTCTATGGTGGGTCTTTTACCTCAAGAGTCTCTGAAGGAGTGAGGAGCAACGCTACCCTAAGGAAGCCTTTGCTGAGCCCACCTCACTGGCACCACCCCTGATATTGGGAAAGTGTTTATTCTTCTCTGTCACCCCAGTGCGATCACCTGATCAGTGGCGTATCTAGGGGAGGGCGAGATGAGTGGGGGTGTGCACCCCTCCCAAAAAAATTACTACTCGCTCCCTTCAGTCGCTCCCTCACCCTCCAAAAAAAAAAACACGGTCAAATAGTTAAAAATCACCTAAAATCACCATATTTTGCAAATTAGCGCCCCTGAACTGATCATCGAGCTCCGCTCCCCAACCCACTCCTCCCCCTAATTTCAAGACTTCTAGATACGCCATTGCACCTGATAGTCTCTCTACGCCAAAGCTTATAAAGTACACTGTGGACTATACCCTGGCCTTGTTCAGGTGCTGGTAACTTTAACATTACATGAAAGAATATTTTATAGTTTGTCCTCAATTCGAGAACACTCTAATTTGAGGCCGCTTTTACCATCTAACAATCAGCAATCAATTAATAATAATAATAATAATAACAACAATAATAATAATAATAATAATAATAATAACATAATAATAATAATAATAATAATAATAATAATTTTTTAGGCCTACATAGGCCTATACTTTGTATTTTTTTCTTAAACATAGGTCTACGCCATATATTCAATTCCCATTCCACACACATTCAATCAAACCATTGAACTACACATTTTCAAGCATTTATAATTTACAAGTGATTAACTTTCATTAAAAACACAAGTTAGTTTTTATACTTTTTGCTACGATAATTTAAATGGTTTGAAAGACAACGGCTGAAGTTACAACATGACCAATAATTAAAAATTTAATAACGGTTTAACTATTTAATGTTTTATTATTTGAATTATTATTATTAGTTCAGCACCACAAACAGTATGTATAAGTTCTACTGTTTTCTCTACTCTCTCCGTTCCACGCGCCTCAGGATATTGGTTAAGTAACAATTATTGTTGTGTCTTCTTAATAATGTGACCATTATAATAATAATAATAATAATAATAATAATAATAATAATAAAATAATAATAATAATAATAATAATAATAATAATAATAATAATAATAATAATAATAATAATAATAATAATAATAATAATAATAATAATAAAATAACAACAGAAGCAGCAGCGTATGATGCCAGACAAGTGATCTGGAGATCGTGGGTTCCAGTCCCACCCGAGAACAACTTGCGATTTTTTTCGCAATTGTTTTAAAACGTACTGAAAATTCAGTACATGTCCAGCAGGTAGAGTAAAATTTCAACTATAAATAATAATAATAATAATGATAATATATAGAAACTATTTTAAATGTAGTTCAAAATGTGGTTTCGAGTTTAAGTGCAAACTGTAGACACTAATCTAAAAAATATGAGTAGGCCTATGAATTTGTATTTGATAACATGGTTGAATTCGAAGTCGATCCCTATACTCATATACTTTGGACTTTCTTTTCATTAAACCATTCTATTATCCATGATCATAAAAGCACAAACGTCGATGTAATGGTACAAACATAAAAATCTAAACATTATGAGTAGGCCTATGAATTTGTATTTGATAACATGGTTGAATTCGAAGTCGATCCCTAAATAATACTTAAACTTTGGACATTCTTTTCATTAAACCATTCTATTATCTATGATCATAAAAGCACAAACGTCGATGTAATGGTACAAACATAAAAATGGCGTCTAGGGATCAACGTCGGCGCTTTTATATATTATTTCTTTAACTTAAAAATCATAAATATATTAATAAGATAATGTTCAATACACCCACACACCCACCCACACCCCCACACACCCAGGCTGAGGTACCACGCTCCTCTCACCGGACTTCTTGATGTTTTGACTTCCCTCTACTATTAAACTGTTCAGAGTGTTTGGCTCCTCCTCGTTCGCGTCTTAAAAACTCCATTGGTTTATTATAAATTTTATTAATTATGAGACAATTTAATTCTCATAATAGGTTCCTTGGTTAACACCTATTAAGTCAACTTCCATTCCTTATGGTTCCGGTCATTTATTAAGTTTAGGTGCCAGGATGCTTCCCTTATAATACCACAAGAATGTAAATTCGAGAGGGAACAACCTACCAAGATAGGCCTATACCAAGGTATTGCCCACTGTTGATTACAGTATAGGAAATGGAATACATCTTAGGTTATATGCTAGGAACCGCATCATCTTAAAATCAAAGGAAATTAAAAGGCTAGAAAAATACATTGATTCAAATAATGAATGCAAAGGCTTAATATACACACAAAAAAAAACCACACACACACACACACACCTCCCCCCCCCCCCACACACATACGCCCACTACTATATATTGGGGAGCGTGAGAGCACACTTTAATGGATGCTTAATTTTGCCACGATAAGGTCTATACTTGATGTTTGATGATCAACCGGATGTGAGTTTAAAATGAATATTAATATGCCTGTAGCGCTCATTGTTAAGGCGTTTCTTGTTATATATCACATATGACAGCCTAAGCAGAAAATAGGCCTGCGGATAGCAATAATTATGCGTTTGCTACTATACGTAGTCTCATCTATGCCTTGCTTAAAATAGTATTAAATACGGTACATAATACTTACCATTAGGCTCCACATAAAATACAAGAACCAGTATGCTAATCTTAAGCAATCTTTGTAGTTCTAATTTCGATGACTGTTTGGTGTTCTTTATACCAGCCATTTTAGCGTAGCCCGTGTATTATATACTATCCGTTTTCGGTCTTTACATTGGCCTGACGGAGACGCTTTCGGTGCACACTGTAGACAAATCGCTAAGTATTAGGAAAAATGCACAGGAACTCAAGATACTTATGTTCTGATTTTATTTATGTGCCAAAATACGTATACATAGCTTTTGGAAGGGTCGTGACAAAGTGCGAGCTTGCGAGTCATGCGAGGCATGCGAGCCATATGCCTACATTTTTAAATATTTTTTTTATCTGTAATTATTTTTTATTAACACACGTACTATTGTATTTATTTATTTATGTATTATTACATAAACAGTTAATTACATTCGTAAGTTTCTAGGGGAATATTCCACCGCGGTAGTAATGGTAGGATAACTGTTCAGCATTGTGATTGGTTGCATGCAGGAGGAGGAGGACGACGTTGACAATATGCAGGTTTTGCCTTCGCAGGCGAAGTACATTAACATAATACATTACATTAATAATATAAAAAAAAAATATTGATGCGACACAAAAGCGCTTCGCATGTCTTTTGGATCCGTGAAAGTGACAATGACAATATTTTAATATAAATTATTATGTTCATATGACCTTCTCATCGAGTAGCCTAATACTAAAATCAAACAATTTCCTTCAATAAAAAAAAATGACTTAAATTAACCTGGCCCGATCATATCCTTAGCTGAGTCTAATATTAAGAGTCACAACGAGGCCTCGCCAACCTCGAAACCAA